CAGTAAGGCTTCCTGCTGATTGCCTCCAACCATCTATTATCAACAATTCAAAGTGCACCGTGATGGCGAGCTACCTAGAATGTTGGTGGCCATCATTGCAAAGCTGACTGATAGAATTCAGTCTGCGCAAAAGAAAGGACTAGGCGCGTCACACTAGTTATCAGTGTCCAATCAAAGTATCCAATAAAGTCCTGCAGGAGGTCGATCGCGAGCCCGAATAATTCAGTGGTAACGTCTCTGACTACAGCACCCGGTGACGCGGGTTCGAATCCCAGACGGACAGGAGTTCCTGTAAGACGAGTGCTAACTAGCACGAAACCTAGGTCAGGTAGGGCTTCCTATCGATTGTCGTCAGTTGAAGAAATCTTTGGTAGTTAGTTTGAGCCACATTCGAGGGTATAGGCTGCCTAGTTGGAATTGTAAAAACCGACGCCTGAAGACCATTTGTAATATAGCTGAAAATTGTTCTGAATGGCGAAGATGCATTCACTCTTTGTGATCTTCCATATACCATGAAAAACCCTAATGCTTTTCCGTGTTAGCATCATTCCTCCTTCACATTTCTGCTTAGTATTGGTATTTCTCATTCCCTTTTTTCTCTTCTTCTCTTGTCTTCATTTGTGTGCTACAAGGAGTGTGGTAACATGAACTGCTGCACTTCCGTTCTAAATTCTATGCCGAAAGTCAGTTGGTTAGTCAGTCACTCACAGAAGTATACAATTCCTCTACACATTCATATAACCATATATGGAATAATTTGATGTTAGATACAGTTCAGTGAATTTGCACATCAAATTTGATTATGATTATCTAGTGTTTCATGGTATTTGGTGTCAGTTTTCTGACTGAAGAAAAGAAAACTCAGTGAATATAAAGAATCACTCCAATAATTAATCTGATGAAGGATGTAGAAGCATCTCCAGACATTGTCGCTACTCCTATCTGGTATGGAATCTATAAATTCATAAGTCCCCTATTATTTTTCTTGATTTATCTGATATTAACTTTAGTAATATATTCATGCATATTGCCACATAAATATGTTTTAATCTGTTATCTATAGATGTTAATGACACTGTGTTATATAAAACCCTAATATTGCCTGTGACAATAAGATTTTAACTACTTTGGTCGCGTAAGTGTAGAAGCTGGTAAAAAGTTATCGAAAAGAACATTTTTTCCATACTACTACTACTACTACTACTACTACTACTACTACTACTACTACTACTACTACTACTACAGTGCCCACGTTTTAAGCATTCTTTGTTCACTAATCCTTCTTTTGATATATACATCTGTTGACGGCCGTTATTATTTTTCCCTTAGATTCCAAGTGGAACATAAGGCTTCAACAGTCCATAACCATTTCACCATCTTATCTACAGACCTCTTCAGTCAGCTTAACGACTGCCCATAAGCTCTTATTTTTTCCTCAAACAACCTCCTCCGTGTTACCCTCAAACGCATGCCCAAAATATCGTTTCAAATTCGGGCTCCATATTCAAGGGTTTAGCCCTATGCGTGACGTCACTCAACGGTTCACTCAATGTGTGTTCGATCCATCTCCGTTTCCTTTGGTATAGTTTTCAAAAGATAAGTCCCTGCAATTAGTAGTGTTCTCTGAGCTGGTTGGTTTAATTGCGAAGCTTTCGTTGTCCTTCTGGACAATATCTTCAGCGCAAGTTTTAGCCGAAAATGAACTGATTTCAATTCTCCATGAATGATAGAATTACGTCTCCTGGTAACCATCTTCGTGACTGGCAGTTGATTTACATCTGATCACTGATAATTTTTGTTGACTTGCATTTTGAACTTTCTGGTCACATGATTTACTTTTTATTAGTCGGTAAATTTTGTCTACAGAGGTAATGTGTTTGTCAATCGCTGGCTGATTCACTTGAGTACCAGGCTTCTAGGAATTCTCTGGTACAGCAGAGAAAGAAGATAAAATTAATACAATTCACAAAATATATTGTATGAACTGTAATAGACATTACATTGGTCAAAGTGTGCGTCCCCTTCGGATCTGAATCCAAGAACACAAATTAGCTGTAAAAAGGCACGATATTATATATTCTTTCATATCGATACATGTAGATAATCACGGACACCAATTTGATTGGGGTAATGTCAAAATTTTAAATAGAGGAAACACCGAAAGTGCCAGAGGATTTCTAGAAGCCTGGTACTCAAGTGAATCAGCCAGCGATTAACAAACACAAAACTCGTATAGACCAAATTTACCAACTGTATAAAAAGTAAATCACATGACAAGAAAGTCCAAATTCCAAGTCAATAGAAATGATTAATGAAGATGTAAATCAGCTACCAGTCATGAAGATGGTTGCCATGATACACGATTACATCATTCATGGAGATGTTACCTAGAAGGACGATGAAATCTTCGCGACTAAATCAGCCAGCTCAGAGAACACAACTAATTCAAAAAGGGGGTTTAATAAGCCTGAGGCAGGAAACTGAAAAACCAAACCACGTGTGTAACTGGCGCGAATTCCGCCACTGAATAATCAACGGATAGGCCTAGACGGAATTAAACCAGTCTAAACAAATGAAATCACCAGGCTTAAGGAGAATATATGTTTTAATGCAATAGGACAACCTAGAAGCCCGACCTTATCCAACCCCTATAACTGGCTTTTGTTAGTTTAACTTTCCGAGGCATGTAATGTTTGTAAATAATGCATTTTGTGTGATAGAATTGAGTCATTCTCATCAGCGTAGACTAGTCTGTTTACTATCTTCATTTTCACGGGTTCTGTATGTCAGATGCAATCAGCAACCGATGTAAGTGTCGAACACACAGATGAGAAGTATTACTAGATTATCACTAACATAATGCTTCGCAGCAGGATATCGAGAAGTTGCTTAATTCTAGTCTGAGATTTCCAGTAATACAAAATCACAGCCAGTTCAGCAGTCGAAACTAGGGTCGAGAGAATACTAGATGAATTTATTACCACTCAGCCAGTGAAGCAAAAATGAATGTCTCATTAGTATGCGTTTAGAGGACTGAAGGGCATAGATTTGGGACTTGTGTGCATTTCGGGAAGTAAAATATTTGATTTGCATATATGAGTAATATGGTTGAGCTTGGCAGCCAAATATTAGTAGCTAAAAACACAACTAATTGCAAATCATCCAACTGAGCTATAAGTATTCTCTATTATTTCAAGATACCTTTTTGATTGGCTCGTTCCTAGAGTTCTTCAATGCCTATCCTTTCTGGCCGTCTGATCTTCAGTGTGGAGCCAGCTAAGGCAGTTGCTGATAAAAGTCTGCGGCAGGCTGTTGGGAATGATTTAGGTGACACCCTGTCTCCAAACCAAACTATTGTTTAAGGTCCAGATCTTTTTCGTTATGCTGACTGCTGAAGATTTCCACATTGATTTTAGATTAATGAAGGCCTGTCTTGCCTTTCCAATCTTAGCTGGCTTAAACATCTTCATCTGTACTGTCACCTGTAGTCGCAAAATACTGCCTGAATAAGTGAAAGATCGGACTGCCTTCAAATACCTTTCGTCAATGGTGATTGGGTTGAGGATCATGGCTAGTAGTAATCAGTGATTCAGATTCCCTTTGTTGATCTTATTATTTTCATTGTTTGAACTAAGTAAGCATTCTTGCCACCATCTGCCATAAGGTAAATATGGTAATCTGTTTGTTAACTTATAGGTCGAACTGTTATCTTAAAGGTCAAATCATAAGTGTGTCACACGAAAATTCAAACGTGTTTATTTTATTTTTTTATAAGTACAGAGCTGAATTTATGTGTTGATGTATTATCAGCTTCTAGCACGGACGCTTCAATAGAAAAAAAAACTGTATACTATTTTCAAAGGTTGTTTATTTCATTATTTATTCAGTCTTTCATGGTAATCTTTCTTATCTTATATCGTATATACGATAATATTATCAAAGATCGAAGTGTAGAGAGCACGAAAAGTTATTTCACATCCTCACAAAGACTTTTGGTATATTTTGGAAAGTAGTCTGCCAATGCTCAGCAGTTCGTCCCGTCCTTCTCTATGGTGGTGAGACATGGTCATTGAGAGCGGAAGACATGAAAAGGTTGACTGTTTTTGATCATAGATATCTACGATCTCTTTCTCACGTTAGGTGGTATAGTAAAGTAAGTAATGTTGACTTTAGGCGTAGAGTGTTGGGCAAAGAGGGAAAATCAATCGAAGAGGCTATAAAGTTACATAGATTGAGATGGCTAGGTCACGTGCTGCACATGCCTAACCATCGCCTCCCCCGACGGGCATTACTAGCTGATATAGGTGCAGGTTGGAAAAGAGTAAGTGGTGGCCAAACAAAAACATGGCCTCATCAATCCACGAAATCTTTGACAGTTAAACTGAGTCAGGTAGGGAGATGCAGACTTCCGGGTTGGGGCCCGCCCTCGGGACTCTAAGAATCAATGGCTGGAGACAATAGGTGACATGGCTCAAAATCGCTGTCAATGGCTTACGCAGATGTATTCAGTCTCTGTAATCTTTCATATTCCTTTCTACCATTACTCATTCTGTTTCACTCTTATACTTGTCAAAACTCTATTGATTCTCTTCACTCATTTTCTTGTCTACCTTTGTGTGCTCTTTGGGACGTGGCAACTCGAACTGCTGCACTTCGGTGCCAAGTTCTATGTTGAATCCAGCCAGCCAGCCAGTCTACCAATGTAGGAAGAGGATGCTTGCTGCGAGTTGATAACCTTCACTTAGCAGACCGAACTTTATTTTTTTTGAGTAATAAAGAGAGTTTTGCGGTTGAATTAAGAGCATGGTAAGTCTAAAATAGGACGCAATACTTTTTTCAATTCTTTGCGCTTTGAATGGAGCATAGGCTTTCAAAATTTAGCACAGGAAGTTTCGGTAACCAAATGGAATTTTCTATGGGGTCAGGTTGTTAGCCTCATGCCTAACCTTCTTTTTTTTTCAAACTTCCCTCACCCATCGATTTTCTGTTCTCACTTTTAGATACTATTGGACATTGAACGGTGAACGTGTCAACTGGATTAAACCGTACACCTCAGTATTGTCACGAAATTTAGCACATTCTAGTGAGACTACATCACCTTTACCCTATGAAGTAACAGATCCGATTTCACACTTTAATTACTCAAACATTCCATATTTACCAGATGAATCAGGATTGTGGTATTTTGGTGTGCAAAGACTGTCGAATGATTTGAAACCTGGCGTGTATCAATGCGTTGCTGTTAACTCATACGGTAGAGCTTTATCTGTGCCGATGAAATTAGAAATAGCACGTAAGCTTATGCATTTAAAATTTGTTGATCGATTTATGCCAAACTTATCAGGTGGTGTTTATTTCAACTGTCGTCTATTATTTTCATACGTTAGTAAATAATATACCTCTAGTCAAGAATGCTGATATTCTTTGTAAACACATATGCTCTAGTAATCTTCCACTCACTATGCCTTCAACATATTTAAAAGTATTAATATAATTATTTTTTCTAAAGACAGTATTTATCGCACTTTCGATAAGTGAATGTATATGCTGTTGGGTGTCCAATAGGATTTTTCAAAGGGTATATTATTATTATTTCCTTGGGTTCCAATTGGAATATACGGCTTCAGCAACACATATAAACTTCCTTCCACTCTCTGCTGTCCTGTTCAGCTGGCTAGCTCCACGATTTCTCATAATCTCTAATCTCTTCCTCCCCAACACATGGTTTCCTCCATGTCACCAAAGCATTGACGACACACTCGTCTCTCCCCGTTGAAATTCCACACCAGCGGTGACCTTCATTGGCATCGATGTCATTCGACAATCTCCTCAGTGTGTGCTCGGTCCTCCTCCATTTTCTCCAACACATCCGTTGACCAATCAGCTCTTGGTTGGCCTGTCCCAGTCAAAGTTTATTGCTGCTAATTCTTTCTGATTGGCCAGCCATTTGATCTTCAGTATGCAGCCAGAGAAGGGAGCAGTTGTTTATAAAAGCTTGCATTAGTCTGTTGGAAATCCTCTCCGTGACACACAGTGCAAGTTTTTCACCCATACAGAACAGCTGCCTGACCGACAGAATTCACATTTCTGTTGGAAATTCAAATCTTGTGCAGAAGATTTAAAAACTGGTTTCAGATTGATGAAGGTGTATCTTGCCTCTCCAATTCCGACTGGTTTTAACATCTTCATCCATTCCGTCCACCCGTGGTTTAGACTGTGCTTCCTGGCCGGATAAGTGAAGGAAGTAACCTCAGTGAAATCTCTCCGGTTGTTGTTGTTGCTATTCGTTGGTTGGTTATCTTCATCAATTCCGTCTTCTCTGTGTTCATTCCACAGTGTTGTCTTCGCCGTCCGCCTGTTTCTTCAGTCTGTTTGATGTTGTTCACTTGTAAATCTTCGAGTTTGTGTAATACTAGACATCTATTATCTACGAAATCCATATATTTCCTGGGTTATATATATATATATGTATATATATCATACTTTGAAAATCCAGCTGGTCGTTTGATCACTGAATAGTCTGTTTGTAATAGGTTTGTTGACAAAATAACCGTAATGTCTGTTGGGCATGAAAATGCAACACATCTACTGAATAGAATTATTTCTGTACATACCGACATCAGTCCTATATATGAGGAAAGACCTTGCAATGAACTCACACTTTTAGATGTATTTTTGAGTCAGAGACAGGTTGGCTAAAAGAAGCTATTGATTTACAGAGAAATGCTTGAAGGAGACAGTATTGAAGTTACCACACTTTCTCCAATAGTTTTTAAAGGAGAAGGTTTGTTACGTACTTATGTATGAGGATTCAGTATATCTGTACAAATGACGCAATAAATGGTGACAATATCAATATATTTTGAAATTTTTGAACCAGTCTAGAATACATTTAAGTTGAAAGCACACATTTTACTCTGTTTCAAATTACCTCTTCAACGGGGAAATAAATGGAATTATTTTGAGATGAAAACTAAATACTATGCACCCTTGCAGATAATTATGGAAAGAGTTGAAAATGTGCTCTACAACAAACCCCAACACTTCAGAGGTGATTACGTCATATCCCATTTCACATACCACTTTACACGTATATATGTGGATAAATACACAGCTAGGAGTAGTCGTGCTTTTCTTATATGGATGGGCAAACAGATGCTCAAATGTCTTAGAAAACCAATCAGCTTCAAAATGTCGATACATGCGAATGAAGACTACCAGCTGCGTCGATAGCAAAGACTGAAGTCAAAACACGTCTTAATTTCATATACAAAAACAGATAAGTGAGCATACTAAACCATGCGATCACGATAGCTTTCCGTAAAATAAACCACACCTTATTTGCGTGTGTGAAAACAATCTATTGTCATATTTAATATACCTTAGAGTAATTGTTAATCGACGTTAATACCAAGATTAGTATCAATTCTTCTTTTTTTCTTACTCTTAAATCCCTACTAAGTGGGAGTTTGTTTGTGTTATGTGACCTCTTATAAGTATATATTTAATGGGAATAAAAACAAGTGATTCAGCTAAGAGACTATTTTCAACGAATTTATTACCAAGCTGTACAATTTTATCTATGTATATATATATAGCTTTTAAAAGATTAATTCTGTGAGTTGCCAGGAAATATTTGTGATTTTAATCATGGTTAAACGTCAAGCGACAAGATAGGTTGTGTGATTCATAAACTAGTTGATGGAATGAATAAATTTCAGAAAGGAATGTAAAATTGAGCAAGCGACCTAGCCATTGACATTCCCTGGAAAGGAAACTCGCTGTAGTATCGTTGCAAGTAGCGTTTTCCATTCTATTATTATTGTTCAGTAGCCTGAAAGATGAGATCCTGTATTTGACTAACTCTGTCTGTATTTATGTATTAGATTATATTTATGAGTAATAAATTGGCGTCGAATTGTCATCAGAGAATAATACTGTATCAGTGGGTATTTTTCGTCAAATAAAATTATACTATGATGTTTATTAGTTCACCTACCCTTCAAAGCTGGGTATATCGGTCGTTCGAAGAGGGATTTTTTTTCCAAAATGATGCAATAACACTATCCTGTGTGGTTATGAAGGCGTTAAAGTAGAGGTATAACAGACTTAATAACTGAATGTCTGGTTGGTGCTGTCCACCTCTTACTTTAAAATTGTCTGTAAGGTGAAAGACAGCCTGCTCAAATCACTCGAAAAGGCCTTCTATAACATTGACCATAGAGAGAAAAGTAATTCGGAAACTGCTGCAACACTACGGTACACCAAGTCTTTATCAGTCTCATTCAACAGCTATATGACAGTGCCACGTGTCAGGTGAACCACAACGGAAAACTCAGAGAGGCGGTCGAAGTGAATACAGGAGTAAGACAAGACTGTCTATTACCACCGATGATATTCTTAATTATGGTGGACTGGATTACGCGTCATGCTGTGCCTCGGGAGTAAGAAGACACGTATACGCTGGATTGATAAGACGACTCTAGAGGATCGGTATTTCGTGGATGACTTATATCTAGTGTCACACAAACTCGAAGACTTACAGATAAACACCAACAAACTGGCTGAAGAAGCAGTGCAGCGAAGACAGGACTACAGGTGAACATAGAGAAGACGGAGGTGATGAAGATAACCAACCAACCAACGAACAACAACAACAACCAGCACCAATCACCACCAAAGGGAGAGATTTGACAGAGGTTACTTCCTTCACTTATCCGGCTAGGAAGCACGGTCTCAACCACGGGTGGGCGGAACGGATGAAGATGTTAAAACCAGTCGGAATCGGAAAGGCAAGATACGCCTTCATCAATCTGAAACCAGTTTGGGAATCTTCTACACAGTGCTCAGCATGAAGAAGAAGATTTGGATTTTCAACATAAATGTGAATTCAGTCAGTCAGGCAGCTGTTCTGTGTGGGTGAGAAACTTGTACTGCGTGTCACGGAGAGGATTTCCAACAGACTAATGCAAACTTTTATGAACAACTGCTCCCTTCGCTCGCTCCATAATGAATATAAAATAGCCAGCCAGCTAACCAGAAAGAATTAGCAACAATAAACTTTGACTGTGAGCATGTCAACCAAGAGCCGGTCACTCAACTAATGTGTAGGGGAAAATGGAGGAGGATTGAGCACACACTGAGGAGACCGTCGAGTGACATCGCTCTCAATGCAGGCCACCGCTGGTGTGGAATCGCAACGGGGAGAGACGAGTTTTTCTTCAGTGTAAGGATGACATGGAGGAGATCATGTGGTGAGGAGGAGGATATGAGACAGTTTGGGCAGAAGAGGGCAGCAGAGAATAGAAGAAATTGGATATGTGTTGCTGAAGCCCTATATTCCTCTCGGAACCGAAGGAATTGATGATAATAATACAGCAGTACAGCCGGAAAATAGATTGTTTGAATCCTTTGAATCACTCTTTTCATTTTCTATATATTCTAATAAGATTTTTCCATCAATTGACCAGTAGTTATGATACGGTGAATGTCATTTCTGAAGAAAATAAATAAAACATGTGAAATCTTTTTCGAGTTTTACGCGTAAAGATTATTTTTACAACTACCCACAGTAGTAGCATTTCAGGCACTTATAATACACTGATTTTTCTAGTACGTCCATCAAACTTTAACATAATGCTGTATTTTTTAACCCGTTGGTCATTCTCATTGGTACTTATTTAGCTAGTATTCATCCCTTTGGTTCGGAGTGGAAAAGAGGGCTTTAGCAGTACCTCACGATTTGTCCTTTTTAGCTGGATCCATGATTGCCTATAGGCTCTAACTTCTTCTGAACATCATCCACTCTGTCACCTTCATATCCGCACCTTTTTCTTTCCTTCATATTGTCAGTGGGACATAGGGCTTCAAGCTAGAGGCCTGAAGCCTTAGCAGGAGTGGTTTTTATTTTTTACAGGATGGGGTTGCTAGTCGCATGCCCAACCTTCCCTCTTTACCAGTCTTGTTACCGGCTTAGCGAGGTAAAGAAGTGCGGCGACCGGCGATCGCACTCCAGATCACCTGCGTGGTGGATGAGCATCCGACCGCTGTACCATCGAAGCACAATATCCACACCTAATTCATCGAATTCCACTTGGCTTCCACTTGACAACTTGCATGATTTGTGATATTACTCAACAGCCAATTCAGAGTACCTAAGATACATGGCTATTTGCTACAGCATATTTTTTGGTTGGCTAATAGATTCTTGCTTTTCCCGTTGCCAGAGTTCTTTGATGTTCAGTGCTTCTTCTCGACTATCTAATCCTCAGTATTGGGTGAAGACATCTTTTGATGAATGTGTTTATAGCTGCCTGTTGGAAATGTTTTTGGTGAGAGACGCGCCAATTGTGTAAACCGGATAGAAGCACTGACTTGACATTACTGTTTCTTTA